GCCCTTTCTGTGCCACGCTGGTGTGTGTGCCTTCTAAACAGGTCCAGATTCAACCACAAGCGGGAATGAGATCAAGCATATGAAATACAACCTTGTGTGTTCTATTCCTAATTCCAGGCTGTTTGGTTTATTGAATCATGCAGAACGAATGCCTGACCATGCGTCTTCCAAAGCCTGTTCTGGCTACAATTGCACAGCTGGGTTTCATTTGCTGCCCATAGGAGGGGGAAGGAATCCCTATTACTCCAAGACAAATACAGATCTGGGATATGGCTGCAGATCCAGAATTCCTAGCTAGGCGGTATAGGATGATGTGTGGAAAATAAAACACAGCACAATGTAGTCCTCAGGTTTTTGGACCCAAAATCACAACACACCTAGGAAATAGCCCCAGTTTGGAAAGGATTCAAATACCACAGGAAGCATGTTCCTTCCTGCTCAAGGCACATGCAATAACTCCAGCTCTTGACCAGACAAAGGTGTATCCCCATCTGGATGCAATAATACAGCCTAAAAGCAGCAAGAGCAGAACCCAACTATACATTTTAAATAAATGAATAAATAAAAGCCCCCTTTCCTTACAAAACCTCAAGTGAAATAAATTTGCCCTTGTTACTGCCATCATTTCATATCTCAGTAGCAAACAAAAGCCAAATCAGCCATCCATGCCCTGGACCTCAAGCATGGAGATTGACATAAGTCTCTGGAAATTGATGTAAGCTCACCTCAGTCATTTTAGGGCTTCTGCCAACTCACTCTCAGTCACAACCCAATCACTCCTTAGCTGTATAGAAAAGGTTTGAAGGTCTATTTTTTTTTTTTCAAATTTCAAATGAAGAAAGGATGCACTTTTTGGTGCAGCAGAACAGAGACAGCAAAATGAAAACTATGGTGAAAACTAGACAAAAAGAGGAGAATGTTGGCAAGAAATGGAAGTCCTGAACTCAAAGACATATCTTATTTTGAAGTAAAAAGCTTTATAAAGATTACTGTAAATAAGTATTAATTGCTTACAATGCCACCTTACCTTCTACATATTCTCTAAATTCTTATCTTGTTAGCTAGGTGGTGATGACATAACCAATTTCTCTGTTTTATTTTAGGATGTATACTCTGCTTTCTTTTTGAATTGACAGCAGTAGGACTAAAAGCACTGCCTAATGTCCTGCATATATCATCGCTTTCTGAATGAATAGTGTCTCAAACAGGGAAGACAAGATTTATTTTACAGTTAAGGGAAAGGAACAAGTCAATAATATTAATATCTTTAATTCAGCATATTCATTAGAAATATGCTCAGTGCATCTTAACAAAGAACACGGATCAAATATTTGTGTTTGGATTTCCCCTTATGAAGAGAACGAGTTTGATTGCATTTTTCACCAGGGACATGCATAATGAATAACCTACTGGTATAACAGAACAGGAAATTGCTGTGGTTGCTTCATTTGCTGTAATCTGACACAACAATTTTTAATAAAAAGACAAATTCTAGTATGGCTGCCTTGAAAAGCAAAAGGTTACCAAAAAGTTTTTAGACAATAATTAGCTGCTAAAAGTCATTCTATGTATAGTGTGTGTTACTAAATTGTTCATCGTAGATCTGTTTACATTCAAGAATGTATAAGAGTATTTCTTAATCACAGCTAATCCAATTACACATTCTTTTCCAGCTTGTTTTGCTACATGACCTTGGATTTAGAGATAAAAAGAGACTACAGGCCAACTGGGTGTGAGCTTCATATAATGTTTGGGCTTCCTTCAGAGAGGGAGTCATCAACTCTAACAAGAGCATCAGTCTTTGGTTTAAGTATTGTAGGAACAGTAGCTGTAGTTGCTCATGTATTTTCAGTAAACAAATAGCTAGTGGTGCGTGGGAAGTGACAATAGCAAGGACAGTGCTTTGGCAGATCAAGTAAAAAATATATGGCTGCTTTTGCACTAGAAGCATCTTTGCATCTTGGGCAAACTTGGGCAACTCCTCCTGTCCCAAGTTCTGCAAAGTATTTTTTAATAGGATGCTTTATGTTTCCACTATAATTGCCATGTCAAAAGTAGGTTTTAATTTAGGCTTGCTTTTTTCAGCACAAGTTACTGATCTTCCTTAGGAGTGGTAGAGAGAGAGAATTCACTGCACTCTATTAAGAGCCTCTAGTCCGAGAATTACTCACTGTATCCAGTTCTTCATGAGAGCCTTCTTTTCTCACCTTCTAATGAGAACATCTAGACACAAATGCATGCCTGGGATTATGACATGCCTGTTTGGATCTGTCTGAACTGCAACAAACATGGAAAGACCCTGTGCATAGAAACAATTAGAATTAGTTATTTATGAAGCAAACAGTATTAACAGATAAATCTATAATTTCCACATGGCCATAGAGTCACAACACACTAACTCTAGTTCAGTTGATTTTTCAACTAAGTAATGAAATCTTAGAGACAGCAATGCTATTTCTAGGTAGTATGAATTTCTAAGTCTACCACAAATTAAAATTACATAACTGTCTGTAAGTAAACTTGACTACTCGTGAGTAGTAGTTTAAATCTCATCAATGCCCAAGTTTCAGCACAAACCTAGATCACGTATATTAAGGATTAATCTTTTACTAATTCCACAGCACACAGTGACTATTTCATTAAGCTGGAATCACAGAATAGAATCACAGAATCATTTAGGTTGAAAAAGACCTCCGGGATCATCATGTCCAAGCTTTGACCGATCACCACCTTGTCAACTCGACCATGCACTGAGCGCCACATCCAGTCATTTCTTGAACACCTCCAGGGATGGTGACTCCACCACCTCCCTGGGCAGCCCATTCCAATGTTTGACAACCTTTTCCATGACGA